TTATTGCTCTCTGCTGGATCCCACAGTGTCACCAGAGTCCATGCTCAGTACAGAACTTCTGTCCATGGCCTGTCGTGGACCAGTGTTATGTCTGAGGGAAAGCAGAGTCTAGCATCCACTGGACTACAGTGATCCCTGGGTGACCCCAAGTCCAGCTCTGTGCTGCACTATGCTTGTTCCCAGTGGTAACCAAGTTCATGTTGTCTATATGGAAATGCTGGGTGACCCATGAGTCAGTGCTTCACTGGTCACTGTTATCCCCAGTGCCCTTGAGTGCCTGCTGTGTACGGTCTGCAGTTATCCCTGGTGGCACAGGAGGCTCTGACAGTACTGTTACAATCTGTCCTTCCTGTCTAGTCCCTCTGCTAGGGTGGTCCAAACATGTCACCCATGGAGATTTTACAAGAAATCGATGAAGTAGATCCCTGTACTTCACCTTAATATAAAACTCAACACAAAGTGGATCAAAGACCTAGAATCAGACCAGAAACATTATAACTGTTACAAGAAGACATAAGGTCAATTCTCTGACGTATAGTTCCCGGCACTGACTTCCTCAATAAGACTCCTAAAATTTAGGAAATAAAATAATGAATCAACAAATAGAAAGACACCAAATTAAACCAGTTCTGCAGAGCAATGGAAGCAAGTCTGTGAAGAAAGATGCAAGTAATGGGAAGAAAACTTTGCCAGCGACTCTTCTGACAGAATGTAAAAAGAACTAAAAAAATCTTATTTCTAAATAACCAAATACTCCAATTAATAAATGTCAAATGAAAGTTCTTCAAAGACTAGGAGCAAAGCCACCACGTGACCCAACTCTAACACCCCTTGGTACTTATTCAAAAGAATTCAAATCAGCATAATAAATAGCAATACATGCACAGCCATGTTTATACCTGTAAGAAAATAAAAAGGAGACAGAAGCAGATGCAGAGGCAGAGTGACAGGGAGCAGAGTGGCCTCTTGCCCAAGCTGTCTGCTTCATTTATCCCAGTAGGTTACTGAACACACTTACTGTAAAGGAAGTCAAAAGAATCATTAATGATTCAAAGAATCATTAACTCTTTTTGTTGACAAATTAACTGGTTATAAAAGCAAATTGTGACTGGTGACCCAAAGTTTCTTTGTATTCAGCAATTTTGGAATCCTTCAGAGAACAAGAAGATCAGGATCTGAGCATGAGTTCACGGGCAGGACCCCATAGCAAGTGCTGCAAAGTAATGCTACTGATCAATTCATAGGACTGAAGAAAGCCATTATTTTTTGTTTATTTGCATTTTTAAATAGATTATTTCTTTCTCTATCTATCTATCTATCTATCTATCTAGATATCTAGATATCTTTCTTTCTTTTTGTGGTGCTGGGGTTTGAACCCAGGGTTTTGTGCAATCAAGGCAAGCACTCTACCAACTGAGCTATATCCCAGGCTCTATTTGCACTTTGAACCATTTTCAAAATAGAACTTTTACATTGTTACCAATAGATACAGTGTAAAAATAATAGCCTGTTAGGGACTTTGAGAAACCATGGACTAAATGCTCTTTGACTCTAAGGGACAAGAATCTGCTTTGGAGTCGCAGATATAGGAGTGGACAGTCACTGACTCCAGGGTCCACTCCTCCCTTTCCTTCTGATTAACATGTGGGAGTGGGTTGCATGGGGTCAGGATTTAGGGACTCAGATGAGAGAATCTTCATATCTATCACATCAAAGTTCCATCGAAGCTCTGTTTCATCCTTGGTCGAGCACTCTCAGTGCCCAGGGGACTTAGGGACCAACAGCTTCTCATGTTCAAGCAACACGCCCATCCAGGGGGCCCATAGATAGCGACCTACTAATTCCAGGAATGCTGAAAGATGCACCTACATTTTGTCAGTTCCCATGGGCTTCTGTCAGCTAAAAGGAAAGCCAGCTGATCAATGACATAAACCCCATTTTCAGGGAAAGGATGAAAGAAGGGAAGGGGAATGTGTGTGTGGGGGGGGTGTCCAGAAGTAAAATAGACCTAATTATGCTGTGTGCATGTGTGAATATATCACCATGAACCCAGCTATTCCTGTGATCATCATGCACCAACAACATGTTAATGTAAAAAGTAGACAGAATCTTACTGAAGGTCATCACCCCCACCAATGGCAGAACTGCACTTGGGTTCCCAATCTTCCATATGGAACCAGCAATCACAGGTCAAGTTTAATGAAAATTGCCATTGATTCTGGTAGAAATGGGAGTGTGCAGTGGGTCAGTTTTTAACTTCTACAAAAGTGAAGATATTTCTGCTGTTTGCATTTAGAACATCTTGCAATGCAGCTCTCAATCTAGTGGAGAATATGTGAGCATCATCATCAGGTAGACTGACCTCAAATCCTGAGGTTCCCCATATTAGTGGGCACGTTAGCTAAATGCCTCGCTCTGTATCTGTGACAGGGGTTGTTGAATTCTGTGTTTCACAGATGTGCAGCTTTAACGATCTACCTCCAGCCAGATAAGACACTGCCTGAAAATGAGCACATGACCAACCGCCATTGGCTGAATTAACAGACCAGGCCTTCCTCAGAGATTTGGTGTGAGTAATTTGGGACTCTATGTGGAGAGAGCATTCAGGCCCAAACAGGGCAGCTGTGGAGCTGTGAAGAAGAATGACTGATGCTGCCCATGAGCCTAGTGCCTGTGACCTGCTCTGTGATCGTCATAAGGAATTTCTGATGCTCATGTCTGCCAGAGAGTAGGCGAGAATGATGTCCAACTCTTATCTATTGCTAACCTTCTTGACTGTGTGTTTTCACCAGTGAGTACTTCCAATTAGTACTCTGGTTCTGAAAACCTGTGAGCTAAGTTTAGGTCTTGCTGGCAATGATGCCTGAGATGTCCAGTTAACCATCTCTGGTACTTGGAACAGGGTGAAAAGCCTTGTGTGTGGGTTGCCTGGATAACTGTTCCCAATGCCTTTATAGTCACTGATGGGGGGCAGATTTACTAATTGTTGATGGAAAAGCATAAGTAAAATACACATGTTATGTTTAGAGGATGTTTAGTTTGATAGAAAACTCTATGTCTCTGTTTCAATAAAACAGAACTTGATTGACATTTTTGCCACTGAGTAAAATCATCATCTTACGTAATTAGTAATTTTACAAATGCTGTCTCTTTTGTTAATGTTTCTGGATTCAACTGCTGGCTTTTACATTCACTGTGTGGTGTACACTGCTTTCTGTCCCACTTTCCTTTTGTGTAAATGCAGGTACCAATAGCATCTTACTCATAAGTTTGTTGCACTATACATAATATAATGTGTCAAGCAATTAAATCCATTAATAAATCCAATTAATAAATTCAATTGAGATAATTGGATAATTGGATAAATCCAGTTAAATTGAGCCCATGGTAACTGTTTAGGAAGTGTTTTATTTAAGCATTCTCGCTACACTTGCTCCTAGTACTACAACTAATAACAATAAAACGACCATTTTAAAATGATTTTTCTACTATGAAACAAAACCCCCAAACTCCATATGGCATGCAAAGGTATGAACATAATTTATTGATGGAGAAACCATGCCCTATAAAATTAAGCAAACTTTCTAAGTTCTCACAACTGGTAAAATATTATCTGGGGACCCAGATATCATGTCATCTGATTCTGGCAGGAGCTAAGTCACCAGGCCGCTTTACCTTTGTGGACAGAATTTACTAAGTTCATTAACTTACTACCCTCCAAGTTCATGGGCCTTGGTGTCTGTCCAGGTAGAACTGTATTTTATATGTGGAGAGTGAAGAGTGCTGATGCCTACTGGATTCCTCCAGATTAGCAGGTGAGAACAATCACTGAGCTCTTCATTTGCATAATTTTGTCTGGACACTATACTTAATGGACAGTTTGGCTGCATATAAAATTGTTGGTGCACATACTTATATGAGTAGTTTTATAGCATTTCCCTCACTCTTTCTGCCACTGAATGTTGGTGTTGTGACATATTCCACTCACCTGATAAAATTCTCTGGTAGCTAAATGTCAGTGAACTAACGAATGGACAAATTCGGTGTGGCACATATAAGCAACAGAATATGTTCAGTCAAAAAAAAAATGCAGTCCTATTATTTGTGGCCACATGATGGACTTGCAGGACAATAATAAGTGAAATAAGCCAGCCACAGGAAAACCAATACTACACTTATAATGTAATATAGAAAAGATGACATCAGAACAGCAGAATAGTGCTGACCAGAGACCAGAGATGGTCGGGAGGACAGAAGGAGGGAATTGGGTCAATGAGTCCAGTTTTACAGGCAGGTTGTGAGAAATTAATGTGACTCCATTTTTGAGAAACCAGCCTCTACCTCAGAGCAAAGCCTGTCCAAGGAAGGGGGTGTGACCTTTGTCCTTAGAAAAACCAAAAGAGCCTTACTAGGCACATACCCACCCTGCTGAGTTGTTTGTCTGCAAATAACAGGAGAGATCTGCTGTGCCAGGTGTCCCTGACTCAGTTAGGCAACCCCCCTAGCAACTTCCAATCAGCATGAGACAGGGAAAATACCTGGGATGCCAGATGACCCCCCAGTAGTTTATGGTGGTTGATAACATGTTGGGAAACCATGTACTTTAGCACGTACACCACTCATGGCTTAACCCAGTCAGTTCAAAGGAATCCCCCTCTTGTACTAACCCATCACCCCTACCCAACTTGTTCCCGCCAGTGAATGTGCTAATGAATGTTAAGAGTTGTTGTTTGATTTTCCTGCCATATGGAATGATTTGCTCTGTGATGTTGTGATGCATAGAGTACCCCCCAAAACCTATAAAATCTCACTGAACAAAGGATAGGGACTCACTCCCTGGGACTGCTGCGTCAGGAATAGTTGTGAGTCCAGGCTTGAGCTTGCAGTAAAGACTCTTGTGTGATTGCATCGGATTCGGCTCCTGGAGGTCTATTGGGGTCCCATGAATCTGGCATAACAGTTGGGGGAATGTATTCTATTGTTCCATGGCACCTGTATCCCTATGGTTAACAGTAATGCACCATACATCTCGAATTACTTAGAAGTTCAAAGTAAGGTTCTTTTAAATAACTTTGTCCTTTGTAAATGCTTGAAGTTGTCAGGATGATTTAAGCTACATAGTCTTCCTTGTAGCATTGACTATCCACTTAGTTGCTTCCCCTGTAGATATATCAGCTTAAGACTTTTCTATTTTATGAATGTTCTCTTAATTAAAAACATCTGATCCTTCCCTAGAAACTGCAATTTTTCCAAGTCTGATCTTCTTTGCCTGTCTTCTGAAACTAACCATTTTCTGAAATGTTCTTCATCTTTTCAACCTTGTTTTTCTTTTCTTCCACCATTATGTTTATATTCCTTCTTGAATTTGATGATTGTGATGTTGGTGTCACTCATTTGAATTTCATCTTCATTTATGATTATTTTTTATTGTTTTCACCTGTTTCTAACTTTAGTTCTAAGCTTTCTGAATAATATCCTTCTCTTAAAAAGTCAGAGTTTGAGGTAATTGGGATAATGCTTGTTGTTTTTCTCAACACTAAAGTGCAAATAATTCAGGTTGGGGTTAAGTAAAGACAGAGGAGCAGAGGAAAGGAGGGAGGGAGGGAGGGAGGGAGGGAGGGAGGGAGAGAGAATGAATATGACGATGATCATACTTGAATTCATGGGCCACTTTTGTTTTAGGCAACTCAAAGTACTGACCTATCCATGCCCCCAAGGAAAATGTTTTGCTGCTTGTTTATTTTTAGCTAAAATAAATGGCATGGGAGATACCTGTGCAGGCAAGTTGCGTAAACAAGACAGTCTGCATGGTGCCATCTCTTAGTTCTCCATACTGGGAGCCTGGATACAGTAAATGGGTGTGTGTGGAGCCAGGGTTAACAGTGATGCTGCAACGAGAACCTCTGCTCATATCCTGGACAACACAGGCACAAAGAAAACCCGCACAAAGCCCAGATAATAATTAAGATCACTACAAAGTTCTTAAAGAAGGAAAGTCATGTCATCACTAATTAAAAACAGAACTGTCACTGAACCCAATTTACTTAGTTTGCACTGAAAAAAGGCAAGATTTTGAGGCCAAGGTCTTTGGGTGTGAGAAACATTTATTTGGACATCTAGCAAGCCAGAGAAGATGGGAGCTACTCACCAGCACAGACAGGACAGGGAGCCTAGTGTGCTAAAGGGCCACACAGGCAGGGAGGAAGGGACAGGCAGGGAGTGGGCAGGAAGGACTAATGACTGGAGACTTCTGGGGCCACTCCCAAGGCCTGTTGGGAACCTTGTGTTGGTTCACTTTATTTTTCTGTATTCAGCCTTCATGGGAGGAGATAAGGTAGGTAAATTTAGGTCAAATCAACATTGCATTTTAGTTCCAGATGAGCCACTTGAGAAACAATGACTCTATTTTTCTGCAGAGTTGCACAGAAACCTGACCCAAAGTTTTAGGGCAGCAAAGAAGAGAGATACTTCACAAAGGCCAAGATGGCAAGCATCTTGATTGTGGGGGGTGGTCTCGCTGAAGGACTGGCATTCTCCTTCCCATGATTACAAGAGGCTCTATTGGTCACTTTCTTAGTGACCTGGATACTTCCCTGATCCTCGAAGTAGCAGAATGTGTCTTCAGGCATAGGCGTACCTTCCTGCAGCCCCAGGGGTTGAATTACTCTCACCTGTCCTAGTAACCCTTCCCCTCCTGGCCTTTTTTGGATGGAACTTTCTAAGAATGAGGGTCTCCCCAATAAAAGCTCACTTCCGTAAGTGCTGCTTTCTCTCGACAGCCTCTCGTGACTTTCCTTGCTCTCCCATTTGGGGAGCTTTGGCTGAGAGTGGAGGAGCCATCCTGAAGCTTGATTTAAAGGTAAAGTGAGTGCCTGTGTTTTATTTGGTGTCCCTGGAAATTCACAGGAGCAACCTTAAGTTCAGCTGCCTGTGCTGATCAGGGGGCGGCAGGGGGCGCCCAGAACGAGGGACCACTCAGAAGTGAATTTCCAGGTTGATTGAGAGAGTGTGCTATGGAAATTTATTGGACCATGAATTTTTTGAAGGGTCACAGAGGAAGCAGACAGTTTTAGAGCCAAAGACGTTAAAGAATTATCATGGGCAGTTCCATGTCTTCAGATAAAGAGATGTATTTAACAATTTTGGAAACAATAATCAACCGGAAAGGAAAGCAAGTGAAAAGGAGCCAGCTAGCCTAGTTCCTGAAAACGGTTAGCGAGGTGTGCCCGTGGTTTTGTCTGTAAGATTTACTGAATTTATGTCCCTGGAGAGACGAGGTAGGAAATTACATAAAGGCTGCCTCTCTGCCGACTGTCTAGAAGTACAATAGAGAGCGTTCAGAAGGTCTGGACTGCGATGGCAATGTGTCTTTTTGATGACCTAGATCAGGACCAATGGTCCCCAAGGACCTATTAAAAGGACTTCAGAGGACAATTAGGAGCAGGGAGCAAGAGAAACGGCCCAAGGCTACTTCTTCAAAATGGTTTTCTCTTTCCCTACCGGGATTGAGGGTGGAATCAAATTTCACTCAGTCTGCAGCCTTGGAGTCCCAGACAAGCTTCCTGGGCCAAGACCTAAAATCAAAAGCTCAGTCTCTGTTTTGCCAGACCCACTCAGTAGCTCAGAGGAGCAACGGGGGCCATGTTCCAGAGAGGAGACTAGTCCCAACTGAATTTCTGTGAGGCAAATTCAAAATGGAGAGGAACAAAACGGACAAGAAACAGACAAAAAAAGAGTCACAATCTGAGGGGACTCAGTCCGAAGATGAGGAAGAAATAGAGGAGGGTTTTGCTAGATTACATTTAGCTGGGCCAGCACCCACCATCTGAATTCCACCGCTCGCCTCCAGGAGAATGGTTCAGTCATTGCTCTGAACTGGCAGTCACCATTACAATGTGGCCTTAGAAGAGCTCAGGAAGTGGGGGAAGACATTACATGTTTTCAGCTTCTTCCAGTTTTTGAACAGATTAACGAGCAGAACCAGCGTGTCCGCGTGCATGTGGCAGTTCCCTTTAAGAGCTAAAAACCGCTTGCGGTACCTGGGGCCTACCCCACCATTTGTACAAAGCTTGCTCGATTTGCTATGTCAGGAGCCTCTTCCCCCAAACGACTGGGTCTCCATGGTGAAGGCTTGTCTCTGGGGGGTGACTGTCTCCTCTGGTGGTCCCACTGGACTGATTTCTGTACCAACAGGCTGAGAGAAACAGAAGACAAAATCTTGAAGCTCCCTTGGAAATATTAAAGGGAACTAGAGAATTTGCAGACTTAGAGAGACAAATAGACTATGATTTAGCAGTTTAAGATTAGATTACTGCATGGGCCAAAAAAGCTTGGCTGCAAATTTCTTCCCGAGATCAAACTAGTCTAGCTTGCAATAAGATAAGCAGGGCCCAGAAGAACTATTCTCCAATTTCAAAGTGCGCCTCCCCCAGGCAGCTAACAGATCAATCAGGATTCAAACGCTTCTGAACTCCTAGTTAAACAGCTAGCGTCTGAGAACACCAGTGAAGTTTGCCAGGACATCCTCCGACCTCATCGGAAAAAAAGGAGCATCTCAGAATTGATTCACCTTCAGGCAGATGTTGGCCCCACCAATTACAAGGTTTTACGATTGCCATGGCTTTAAAGCAGGTTCCTCAGCCCCAGTCCCAGAGACGCCATTCTCAAGTGGTGTTTTAATTGTGGGAGGACCAGACAAATGGCCTTATGTTTTAGACACGATACTGGTAAACCTATGGGGAAGAGATGTCCTAAGCAGCTTAGGATTATTATGAGTAACTCCAAATTCTATCAGGTCATTCGAGGAACTTAATCAAGAATCTACTCCTAGGGAAATTGAGAAAAATTTACAGGATGAGTACCTACTTATGACCCAGTCTCCTCGACAGAGATTAATTAATGCACCCAGCCAAAATTTTTGGTAGGGGAACTGACCTTTTCCCCAACCCAAAAGACAGCAGAAAAGATCATTTGGCTCACAGAAGAGCCAATCTGGGTTAGTCAGTGGCCCCTAACAGGGGAAAAACTTAAAATAACCCACATGTTAGTTGAGGAACAGCTTCAAGCTGGTCATTTAGAGACTATGCTCAGCCCTTGGAACACACCCATCTTTATAATTAAGAAAAAATCTGGTAATTAGAGATTATCACAAGACCTTAGAGCTATTAACCATGTTATAGAACCTATGGGAGCATTACAATCTGGGCCTCCTTCTCCTACAGCTGTGACTTTAAATTATAATTTGATAGTAGTAGATCTAAAAGGATGTTTTTTCTCTATATCTTTGCACCCAGATGACTGGAAAAGGTTTGCCTCTAGTGTCCCAGCCATTAATTTTAAAGAACTAGTCAAAAGACATTGCTGGAAAGTGCTGCCTCAGGGAATGCGTAACAGTCCTACCCTGTGTCAGAATTTGTGGCACAGGCTATCACACCTGTGAGGGAAAAATTCCCTGATGCATATATTATTCATTTTATGGATGACATACTTTTAGTTCATGCTAATTCTGATGTACTCTTAAATTTTTTGCTCAATTAAAGACTTCGCTCACAGCAATGAGTGCATTGGTTTTGTGCATTGCACCTCACAAGGTGTAAAAGACATCTCCTTTTCAGTATCTAGGTCATTGAAGAACACACAATCCATCTTCAAAATTTACAAGAGTCAAGGAGCTGCACAACCTTAGTGACTTTCAAAAATTATTAGGAGATATTAATTGGCTGAGGCCATCTTTAAAGCTAACTACTTCAGATTTGAGTCCTTTATTCCAGATATTACAGGGAGATCCTTCTCCAACTTCTTCTCATCAGCTCACAGCAGAAGCAAGAATGGCTTTGAGGAAAGTTGAAATTGCTATTAAAAATGCTCAACTTTCTAGAATTAACCCACAAGAGCCTATACATTTATTGATATTTGCAATTGCTCACGCTCTTACAAGGGTGATATGGCAAACATTGGGAGTTATTGAGTGGATTCATTTAGCCCACTCTCCTCAAAAGTCATTAACTCCTTATCATGATTTTGTTGCTCAATTAGTGATAAAGGGCAGAACAAGAGTTTTACAACTAGTTGTATCAGAACCTAATATTATAATCATTCCATTTTCTGCTCAACAGAATTATTGGCTCTTTCAAACTTCTAATTTATGACAAGCAGCTTTTGCTGATTTTCCTGATCAGATAGAAAGTCATTATCTTTGTGATAAAATTATTTAATTTGCATTAATAACACCATTCATATTTTCCCAAGGATTGTACGTGCACAACCAATAGATGGCGCACTAACGGTATTCACTGATGGCTCAAGCTCAGGTACAGCAGGTTTTTATAGTCATGCTCATACAGAGGTAATGCAAACCTCATATGCTTCTGCCCAATGCAGAACTTCAAGCTCTCATTTGTGCTTTATGCTATTTTACAAATGAGCCTATTGATATTTATTCTGATAGCTTATATGCAGTTGGAGTTACAAAAAATATTGAAACTTCAGTTATTGGATATACGTTATCACAAGAGTTATTCAGTTTGCTTCATATCCTACAAAGGACAGTGCAAATGTGAAAGCACCCATGTTTCACAGGCCACATACGGGCCCACACTCATCTTCCAGGGCCTCTGACATCAGGTAATGATAAGATTGATAAATGATGAGAGCAGGTCACAACTGGTCTCTCTGCTTTTGGCCTTTCTCATGGGATTGGCACTGGGGCGGCTCATTTGGCACCTTGACTGCATATCAGAGTGGATGGCATCATGGTCACAGATGCTGTTTTTCAACAAATGTGTTTGTATGACTGTGCACAAGCTTTGCATTCTTTACATCATCAAAATGCTTCTAGCTTACATAAAAAATTTAATATTACTAGAGAGCAAGCTTGTCAAATTGTACGTCACTGCCCCCCGTGTGTTAGACACACTCCATCTTTACCATTGGGGTAAATCCCCGTGGATTAAAACCAAATCAATTATAACAAATGGATGTAACTCACATTCCTCAATTCGGTAAGCAATATTATGTACATGTAATTGTAGATACTTATTCTAGGTTTATCTTTGCTCAAAAGAAGATGCTCAGCATGTTATTTCTCATTGCCTAGCTGCCTTTGCAGTATTAGGATGTCCTTTACATATTAAAACTGTTAATGCACTGGCCTGTTAGCTCTTCTTTTCAACAATTTTGCCAAGAGTTTCGTATTGACCATAAAACAGGAATTCCTTATAACCCCCAAGGTCAAACCATTGTGGAACGAGCTTATTTATCTATTAAGCTATAATTACAAAAACTAAAAGGGGGGAGATAGGACTAGGACTCCCCCAAATAACCTCAATCATGCTGTTTATTTTAAATTTTTTAAATTGTGACTCGGAAGGTCACACTGCAGCTGAGCGACACATGTCTTCCACAGCGACAGTCCCTTTAGGCCGAGTTTGGTGGAAGGACTTACAGACTGGTCAATGGAAAGGACCAGACACAGTGATTATGTGGGGCAGAGGTCATGCTTGGATTTTTCCAGAAGGTGCTTTTTGTCCTATTTGGGTACCTGAACGCACCATCAGCCATGGAGGACACAGAACTAAGATTCAAACGACTGAAGATCAACCCAGAGGAGCCTTCCCTCAAAAGGAAGAAA